TGAGACTTATAATTATTTGAATTAAAATTTTGATAAGAATTTGATAAATCACTTTGATATGAAGAATAATCTTGTTGATTTTCTGAGTATATTGAAGATTGAAAATCTTTAGCTATAGATGTCGTTGGGCTCCAGTTTTCTCCACGTGCTAATGTTGCAATCTAATTGTTTACATAAAGTAAATTTCTTTGCAAAAGTATTAAAAACATGCCAATTTATATATAATAATATTATATAATACTTATATTTGAATAATATGTAAATTAATTAAAAAATTATTTCAAAAACATACTTGTTTAAATCTATAATTAATGTTATATTTTTTTCTATAATATAATTTCATTTTAAAATTTTATACTTTATAATAAAAAAAAAAATAAAAAATTATGACTAAAAGTAATGAAATACATTTACCTTATCTCTATATAATGCTGCTGCTTTAGTATTATATTTTTGTGTTATTGACATACTATCATTCCAATCAGATTGTAATTCAAAGAATTCACGAGCATTTTTATTTCCACCAACTCTCATTTTTTCTAATTCTAAATCTTTCCATTTATCCATAGAAATAGATCGAACAAATGATAAATGGACACCAAGTCCTCTGTGTTTGCCTGAGCATTCAAGACAAATCCATATACCATATGTGACAGAAACCCATTGAGGATTGTGAGTTCCACATTCAAAACATTTCTGTAAAATAAAAAGATAATTAACAATTAATAATGGAATTTTATGAAAAAAAATAAAATAGATATATTACATTATTCTCGTCTTTTGGTTTAAGTTCACTTAAAATTCTTCGAGTTCGTGGACTAGCCATATTTTTTCATTAAAACTCAAATGAAATCGAGTTTAATTAATTTTTAAAAATCCACCATATTATATTTATCAATCTTTTAATTTCCAATTTTTCATAGATAATAAATAGCAAAAATAATTCTGATATATCAATTTTAAATTCTATCATATGAATAAAATAAAAGTATTATTTATATGTAACCAAATTGTACATAATGTTATAAAGTTTAAGGAACTAATCATTTCATGGAATATTTTATTTTGTATGATAGAAGAAAACCAATACGCAATGACTAAAAATCAAGTAGCCTATGTTTCTAAAATATCCCACTAAAGAGCGCTAAATACCAATCTTATTTTTTTATGGATAAATAAAAATAAAAATATTTATATACATATTATATATATATTTATATATATTACTATTATAATTATTTAAAAATTTTTTAATTTTCTAATTTTAATTAATATATATCATTTGTATTCGCATGTTAAATTCATTTATATCTTAAAATACATATAATATATAAAAATATGTAACATTTAAACAATAATAAATTTATAATTATTTTTTATTTTATTATAAAAATCCATAAACAAATTTCTTTTGAATTATAATATAAATTTAAATTATTAACTAAAAATTATTAAACTTATATATAAAATTGTATAATATTATAAATATATTATTCATTCTACCAATCAAATAAGATATGGATTTGCTTCATGTAAACGACACTTATTTATTAGAAAAGCGCATGCGCAACCCCACCCACTGTTCATGACAAATGCAACTTTTACTTCCGGTTGACTTCAGCTTCTGCATAAGGTTTTTTGGATTTAGCAGTATTCTTGCGTGGTGCTTCTGTTATCCTACGTCATCCGTGATTTTTCTCAGCTGCATTTGCACTTTGCAGTTCTATATCTCCCGGGGATATATTTTGTTTGTCGTATGTCCATCCAGAATCTCAACACATTCGGTAAATATTATATTTTCTGTTTTGAAGTACTGATCATATTGTAAGATAGTTTTATCAAAATGGCGATGGCGTCTTTTGCTTGCATCATAGTACGCAATTAACATTTAATATTCTTTTTTTCATTTTTATTTCTAAAATTATTTTTTTTGAAAAAAAAATCAATTAAATATAAAATTGAATAAGTTTTAATAAAATATGGATTATTTGGTTTTTTCAGACCCCTTTGCAGATGCAATCAAGGGTTCAGATGATGATGTCCAAGACGGTCTCGTGCATATAAGGATTCAACAACGGAATGGTCGGAAGACCTTAACAACAGTACAAGGACTTTCATCTGAATATGACTTGAAGAAAATAGTAAGAGCATGTAAAAAGGTAATAAAATTATATTTACTTCGCAATTATGGATAACTAAATCTTTTGTCAGTGTCAGATACCATGCTAAAAATAGAACTGATGCAAACAAATATTCAAAGTTAAAATTTAATTAGAACTAAAAATGATATTTTATTTTATTATATTATAAATATATTTGTAATATAAATTATTTTATAAGATATATATTTATTACATTATTTATTGAAAATAAATTTTTACTTATAAAATAATATATTTGACATAAAAGCATAAATAGATATAATTATTTAACTTTAATGTTTTATTTATTTTTTATTTATTTATTATTAGTAAAATAAATATAAGTTTAATTTTCATATAAAAGAATTTTTTTAATTTATATTTATAATATATTTTTAATACATATAAAATAATAATAGTCATAAAATAATTATGTATAATTCAAATCAACAATAAATAAATAAACAACAAATAAAATTGTAATAAAAAAGTGAATAATTCAAAATTTATATGAATAATTTTTTTCAGTAATCATATGAATATATTTTATTGAATAAAATTGATATTTTTATTTAATTTTATTAATTAATTTCTATTATTTTTATTAATATTATTATTTTTATTATTATTAATTTTATTACAATATTTAATTATTTGTATTTAATTATTTTAAGAATATGTATACATAAAATGAAAAATTTTATCTAATTTTTAAATATTACTTTACAATTAAAATAATTTATTTTTTTGAAATATGAATATAATTATAAATTTTATCAATTGTAATAAAGACAATTGTACAAAGTAAAAAATTTAAATTTAATTTAATTTGATTTTATTTTCTATATTTTAAACATTTTTTATTTTATTATATAAATATTTGTGGAATAAAATAAGAAGAAAGGACAAAATAAAATTGTTGCTTTTAGGAGTTCGCCTGCAATGGGACAGTAATCGAACACCCGGAGTACGGAGAGGTGTTGCAGCTGCAGGGGGACCAGCGAGAAAATATATGCCAGTGGCTAACAAAGTCAGGTCTAGCCAAACCTGACCAACTCAAAGTCCATGGTTTTTAACCAACAAACACCCATGCCACTATCTAAGAACACTCCACCTTCATTAACACCTTATCATCTTAAATTATCTGTATCAGTCACTAATACTTGTTGATACATCGTGAGATATCCTATTATATACACATATATATTTCAATAAAAAATATATAACAGTAACGATATAGGCACAATATTCTAATCAGACATTTGTAAGATTGTAGGAAGCAATATTTTACAGCCTTATGTTAGGTAATTCATTAAACTCATCACGTTTTAAAGTAGTAGTGATAACTAATTAGTAATTTGAGAAAATACTTATACAAGGAATAGATACACATAGCAACGGATGGCTCTTCTTTTTGGAATTAGGTAGTATGTATCTCGGCGCTATAGATGTGTTCAGAGAGAAAGAGGAAAGGAGAGAGAGATATATATTAAAAAAAGAATTATTTTAGGCACTGGATTGGCTTATTGTATGTAATGCTGAATGCTTTGTTTTGTTTATACAGTAAGGTAACAGGCCTGGTTTTTATATTATCATCTCCAAGTTTTGTGCCTTTACTTCCATATTGATTGTATTATTTATTGAAAGGATCATCTTTTATTGTAATGGATTTATTTTGAAGGAGAATTGCCAATCTTTTTTTTTTTTGAAACAGTATTGACAAAATCAATTGTTTTCAATAAAAATGTGGCTGTATTAAATAAATGGTAATTCACCACTATTTTGACTTCTACCTATTTTCTTTCCATATAATTTCAATGAAAAAATATATTTTTAAATTAAAATAGTACAATAGAAAATGTATATCTTAATATTTAAAAATGTATATTAAAAATTTAAATTTTTAAATGTTAATATTTAATAAAAAAAATTTTTATTAAATTCTTAAAAATAATTTAAATTATAAGAATCATTTTTTTTTAATTAACTTTAATCCTTTTTAGATTTAATTAATCGTATTGTAAAAAATTAATATACTTTTTTTAATTTATTAAAACTAATATAAATTTGATATTAATTTTTTATTTATTATAATAATTTATTATTTACATTTTAATAAAGAAAGCATAAGAAAATATGATTATATAAATGAAAAAATATTTATAAATCTTTTTTTTTTGTAATTATATAAATGTATTAATGAATGCTTTAATTTATTAAATTTAGGTTAAACATAATATATATTTAATTCTTAATAATACACAATAAAATTATTAAAATTGTTTTACGATTTTAATTTATATTTATTTACTAATATATTAATATAACAATTAATATATAAAATTTCGATTAAGTGGATAGTCTATTATTTGATTATTTTTAAAAATTTAAATTTACCGGGCATAAATCATAGTAATCTAACCACCAGATATCACTGTAGTCGAGCAACATATTTACGACCCATAATGCACTGAGCTACGGCATGTGCCTTTCTGTGTCGGCCATTTTGTAGTTTCCTTGAGAAATTGTGTTGAGTTGATTCATCTTCTCGGTAAGAATTTTATAAAATTCTAAAACGGCGCGACTCACATTGATCCAAATGATGTAGAGGATTGAGGGCAGATGCTTATGGCTAACTATTCATAGCTTGAGAACGAGGAATAAGGTTGCGTTTTTTGCGCACAACCGTGTGCGCTCACGGTACTTACACCCGAAGAACGAGCCAGTAAACGAAGCTGCCGAGAACACCTATTGATAAAGGCACATGGAATCCGGG